GTGCTCTGAACTGGCGTCGCCGACCTCGGCTGGAGGGTCAGTGTGGCCGCTGGAGCTCGGCAGCCGGCGGGAGCTATGTGCGCAGGCCTGGAGCTGCGCCCCCTGGCCCGTCCCGACTAATGGCCGCGGGGTCGCGGAGCCTCAGCTGGTGTGGGTGCCTTCCGGCCGGCGGGCCTCAGTTTCTCGGTCTGCGCGGGGGAGGGAGGACCTGGAGTCTTTCAGGCCGTCCGGGGGGTTGCGCCCGCTTTGCTCACGACGGCTCATCTCGCTTTCCCCTTTCTAGGTGGCACTTGGACTTGCCCCAGGGGGAGGCCCGTCCGCGCGGCCTGTGTCTGCGAACCCGGACCCTGCGCGGGCGCCCCGCGTGGCCGCAGGTGGGTGGGTTTCGTACTGCCGCGGGCTCGCGGGCCAGTTCCCCGCGTGGCGATGGTCGGGGGCGGGCGAGCGGCTCGGTTGTCTGCCCTTAACTTTTTTTGAGGCTTTAGGCGCGTTCTGGTCTCGGGTCTCCTGGGAGCACAAGACGCTCCCGCGTCCCGGGCGCCGCTTGCGACTCTGTGAGGCCTGTACGCATGCGCCATGGCACTTGCTCTTGCTGTGGAGCTCTCGGTTCCAGGAGAGGGGCCCAGATTCCCCCGTGCCGGACAGGGTTGGGAGGGAAGTTTGGAGACCGATGGACGGATGGGCGAAAACACGCCAAAGCTCTCAAGATGCTGAGAGCCCGGCCCTGGTTTAGGAAGCCTCGGGCCCAAGCGGAACTGGCTGGCGGATGCAGGAGAGCGTTAGCCCTGAGGCAGCAGGGAGCACACGAGTGCTTGCGCAGATTGACAGCTAAGGTTTTTGGTAGGGATGGGAGATCGGGAGTGGGAAAAAGGAGCTGCAGAGATCTGGGTAGCACACTGGCTCCTGGGCATGGGGCGTGGGATGTAGTTTTTGTGGACAGCCTAGTATGTAATCTTGGGCTGGTGGTCGGTGCTGGGCCTAGATGATGGTCATTGCTGTTTGAGTGCTTAGTGAGGGACTGGATAAGACTCCACTCACCGTGCTGTTCCATGGGTGTTGCAGCTAGCAGGTCCTAGTCTATTCTTTTCTTGGATTAGGGTGGGTAACCAGGGTCGGGGGTGGGCTTTCAGGGAAAAGATCCACCCCAGAGTGAGAGATTCCAGAATGCCTGGGTGACAGAGGTAGGTGCCAGTGGCTCTGGCAGCTTCAAGTGTTGCAGGCTACCCTGGCAGGTACTAGACAGAAAGACCAACATGGCTGAACCTCCCTGGAGGAACTTAACCTTGTAGGGGAGTAGTAAGCACCTAGGGCATGAAAGTGTGTGTGCAGGCCATGGAGCTCCCAGCAAGCTGATGGAGTGTATGCAGGGGTGAAGCAGAGAATTTCGTGGAGGTCATAAGTAGGTCTCCTTCTGCAGAGACTGGAGGGGTCTGGAGTCAGGCTGGGCAGAGTATGGGAGCCCCAAAAGGTGGTCTCCTTGGACAGGAAGAGAACTGTAACTGCCTACTGTGGAGACTTGACCACTGCTTGGGGAAGGAGGAGCAGGTTCAGCCATTAGAGGAGGACTGTCCAGGCTCTGGGCATGTGACTAAAGTGGCCAGAACAGACATAGCAAGTGGGATTCCAGGAATTTACACTGGGGGCTAGGGTTCTGGGCTGTTGACTGGGAGGGAACTGTGAGGAGGTGGTTTTTGGGGTGGGAGTGGCATTGCCTGCAGAGTTGTGAGAGGTGAGTTTGGAAAGCATGGGTCAGGGGGGCAGGAGGGAGCAGACAATAGCCAGGCTTCCCACTTCTGTCCGGTTGCTGGTACCTGCCGTGTGCCTGGTGCTGGATTGTAAAAGAGCCTTAGGACCTGGTCTGTATACTTAATGGTTTGCAGCGTTTGGGATGGCTAGGAGCCTGTTCAACTGCTGGAAGCATTTGTAATCTGTGATGTATAGTGGTTGAGCCTGTGGTCTATCAGGCCAGTCTCTGCTGCCACCACCACTTACTGGTTGTTGCGTGGCCACAGACAAGTTACTTCACCATTCTGTGCCTAGGTGATAACAGTACTAGCCTTATATTGTGGGAGGAGGGGATGTCAGTGGCACAAATGGAGTAATCAGTAAAAGGTTGCTGCTATTGTCCTGAGATTCCTGACAGCTCCTATCTTATCCCTTTTCTTCTCTGGGATTGACAGCATCTGTTGTTATACCTTGCCTTTGAATGTCACTGGCAGCATTTGCCTGCCTTCTTGGACCTCCCAGGCCAGCCACTGGGCTCCTCTTTCCACTCAGAGTTTCTAGGCAGGTACCAATATTTGCCTGCTTGCTGTCTCCTCTTGCCAGCCCGGTGGTGATGGGTAGGCCTCGTTCCCGGTCTTCCCCACCTTGTGTTTGGACAGATTGCCTCGAATGATGGCCTGCGTCTGACAGTCCCTCAGTTCTTCTCAGCTGTCCTGAGGCTGCAACTGTCAGCTCCCCATCCTCAGTTCCTGCCTGGACTGGCTCGGTCTGCCACGCCCTGCTCAACTGATTCCTGTCCTGTTGCATCCTGTGAACCATGTCTGTGCACTTCCCCCTTGTGCCAACACTTCCTTCTCCAGGACACCTCACAGCCTGCACTGTCAGTGGGGCCCTCATATTTCCATCCGGGTGGCAGACAATTATGCCAGTGTGCATTCTTGGCAACAGGTGGATTGGGCCTCTCCTAGGGTAACCTCTACCCCCCTCGTGGATGCCTGAATCGAGTGGACCTGCTATGGGGACCCTGAATGCATGCATATACCCATGGAACAGAATAGCACAGCTAGTGGTGCTCCTGGTGGTAAGCCCACAGAAAGGGGTCCCCCAGCTGGATGTATACCTGGCTTCTGGCCCCTCACGGTGAACTTACACTGGGAGCTGGCTCAGACCCAGGCACCTTTGATGGCTCCCCATGGCTGCTGGACCACTTCGTGGCCCAGCTGGGTGATTGCAAGGCCTTTTGCTTCAAGCACTACCGGGACAACCTCAGCCACATTTGCAAGATCCTCAGCCACCTGACAGGCTGAGCCCAGGTGTGGGCAACCCCCTACCCTGATGGGAACCTGCCCCGGCCTGACGATTATGAGCTCTTCTGCCAGGACCTCAAGGAAGTTATTCAAGACCTGAACAGTTTCGCTAAGTACCACGCCACAGTGCCCTTCCCCCTGCCCCCAACCTCCAGCCAGCTGTCAGTGGCCCCTCAGCTGTCCATGGTGAGGCAGTACTTAGCTAGGTTCTCGGAGTACTCGACATGGGCACTCCTCCCTGGCCTGTCCCAGCCACTCTGGCAACTCCTGCTGTGTCTGGGTCCAACTCTTTATCCAAAAATTCTGTTCCTGAGCAGCAGCTGGTCAAAGACAACTCTGGGCCTGAAGACCCCCTTTCCTGCCCAGCTCTGTACATAGCCCCACTCCTGGTCCTGTGGAGCCAGCCTCCTCCCAGCCAGAGGAAGCAGTCCCCAAACCTGTCCATATACTGTCAGAATCTGCTAATTTCCCTGCTCAGAGACCATGCCTTGCTTACCCAGGGCATCCAGTATCCCAAAAAATAGAGGAGGCAGTTTGGAAGACAAAGGCCAGGAGTTGTCCTTAGGTACACCACAGGAAGTGGTGGAGACCCCAGGAGAACCACCATTTTCTCCAGTTTCCCACCCAGCACCCTTGGGTTCTAAACACAGCCCCCAATAAGAACAGAGTGTTGTCCCTAGATGACTTCAGATGATGCCATAGTTGGGCGAGGTGCACTTGTTTTGAGTTCTGCCCCGAGCACAAACAGCTCTTCCCACCCTTGGCAAGACATTGACCTCTGCCCTGTGCCCTTGTCCTCCCGCTGCTGGATTTGCAGCTGCAATTCTGCTCATCACTGGGGAGTGCCATTGCACCCGCACCTGTTCCCACTAGGTGGATAGTTTCATCCTCACCCCAAAGAACACATTCCTTGGTGTTTGTTTCTTGGTGCTTTGCTACCCTGGACAGGACTGAATGTGCCACACCTGCCCTGTTGGCATCTGGTGCCTATATGAGATCTCTTCATTCTGTCCTTTTAGACCCAACATCTTTGCTCCCTCTGATCTCTCTGTCCTGACTGGAGTGTAAGGAAGGCTGCATGGAAGAAATGACTGCTTCATCCTTGTGGATGAGTGGGATGGTGTCTTGGTAAAGAACATCGCTGCCCTGTAGATTCACCAGTGGCCCTGGCTAACTGGAAGGCTTCCGTGTGGGAGGGCAGGATGAAGCCCTGGCCAGATTCAGCTCCAGGTATTCCCCCTGAACTTTTGTGTTCCAGTCTTGCCTGGCATTCTGCTGACATTACTGCTCGCCGCCCTCCCTATATACTTGCACTTGTTCATTGAGCACTTCAGCCCAGTGACATGGGCCTCCAGGGCAGGGGCCTGTTTGATTGGCTGTGTGGCCCCACTGTACAATTGGTGCTCCTTAAGCATGTGTTGGATCACTGGCTGAGCTTGTGGCATGGTGACTGCCCATGAGCGAATGGTTTTTTCCCCATTCTTTCAGGAGTAGAGGCCCAGCCGTGAGCATCCCAGGTTGGTGTCACAGGTGTGGTGGTATCCAGTGGAGGTTAGGGTTAGTGACCTGGAGCACTGACTCCAAAGAACTGTGGGTGAAGTGGGGATGAGGCAGCAGTCCAGAGCTGAGTCCCCAGGCCCAGAGCATTGGAATAAAGGAAGCCCTGTTCTATACAAGGATGGGTTCCTAGTGGAAGCACACATGGGTGCTGCCTCACCAGGTTTATGGCAGAATGGGTCGTAGGGGTGGCGCAGTATGCTGCTTGACATCTGTGAAAACACCACCTTCCTGGAATGCAGGAAGAAAAATGTAGGAAAGGGAATTGGAAATACAGCCAGTTATTCTTGGAAAAACAGTTATAAGCAAACATTTGGTAAAACTTTTTCAGAAAAATAGAAATTGTTGAGATTATTTTATATAGCAGTGCACTAAAAGCTCTGAATTTCAGGTAGTTTTATGTATGAGGTATTTCAAGGCACAGGTACCTATAAATAAAACGCTTGGAAATCTGGAAAATAGGAAGCAATTCTGAGGAAACTGGTAGGACCCTGGTAGCAAAGTAAGCACAGAGCCTGCATGCAGCCTCAATTCTGGTTAGATGTGGGGGCTCTGGATGTCCTGGCCAACCCTGTGCTCCTGTGTGTGTTTGCGTAGCTCTCAGCCCTTCTGTTGTGGGTTGAGATGGACTGCTTGTCACATCCACCTCCCAGACTGTGGCCTGGCTGCCTGCGGTTCTGGCATAGAACCAGGAATGCTCTCTGGGACAGGCCCAACCAACCCCCTGCCCATCTTGCTGTTTCTGCAGGACTGCATTCGTCTCTTGAGTGGACCTGAGGTGAACCCTTCCGCACAAAGTAGCTGTCATCCCTTCCAACCCCTGTCTGTGTAGAGCTTTGGGCTTTTTCCTCCTATGGGCCCCAGGTACTCCCAGGTTTGTTGGTCATGGTCCTCCACATCTCTTTGATGGCTGATTGTCTAGGGTCTGCCTAGGCAGGCTTAAGAGCATGTGGGAGAGTCCAGATGACCTGTTTTTTAATTTGTAAAATGGGTACCATTTATATGATTGCCATTTAGCCAGAAAGGAGGCAGGCAGGGCCTCATGGGGGGTTGTCTGCAGGAGTGGCAGCGAGGATGGGGGTTCTGGCCTGGCCTTCCAGGTGTACACAGTCTTGCAAAATGACTGTCACCAGCGGCTGTGACACCTGTCTTTGGGCAGAGGTGATGACTGGGCTGTTCTCCCTCTCCTTGGGGGAGAAGGCATACCAGGTCCAGGAGCGGAGGCTCCGCACTCTTCTAAGGGACCTCTGGTCGTTCACCATTCCTGGCCCCTGTACACTGGCAGATGACCCGGGGAAGGTGCTTAGGAGCTGCAGAGCCTGGCAAGGTTTGCTGGATATACTTGGGGGCAGCATGGTGCTGGGCCTGCCTGCCTGCCTTCCTGCCTGCCTTCTAGGTCATAATGTCTGTCCCTCACTTCCCTTGGAAATACCCAAAGAGTTTATTTCCTGAAGATAAGACACAGGCTCTTAGAGATTGTTTCTAAAGTACCTGTCTCCAGGGAAAATTTTAAAACAGGAAGTACTGAGGATAAGGCCCTAGGGATATTGGAGTATTTTATAAAGCTACAATAATTGAAATGCTTAGATATTATGGACAGATGAACAGAATTTTGAAATAAAGCCAAATAAATACGGGAATTTAGTAGTGCTAACAATATTGTTTCAAATGAATGGAGGTGAAATGGATTATTCAGTAAAAGCAGGTGGGACATCCCATCCAGAAAACAACCAGATGCACTCTTTTTACCAGTGGTCTATTCCATATAGATAAGTCATGCAAGTACTAGAGGGATATAGGGTGCCCTGTGATTCCAGGATTTTAAAAGTTTGAATACTCAGAATTGTTGAAGATAACGGAGAGGTAGCCTTATGCTATTGATGAGAGTATAAAATGCTCCTATGGACCATATAACAATTCTAGGCACACTTACTCTATGACCACTATCACATGCGTGGTGGCTTGTGCTAGAGACAGTTGTGGCATGGGACCTTGCTGTGAGGATTCAGAGGAGGGGCTGGAGGTTGGCCATACCTCGCTGCCTTTCCTGACAAACTCAGGGTCCTTGGGGTTACCTGACATCTCTGAGCTCTGAACATAGTCAGTCCTCACTGGATGGTTGGAAGAGTTGAAAGGATGGTGCCCCATACAGTGCCTTGACTAAGGCCTGGGCTGTCAGGACTGTCTTGTGGGTATCACTGTATGAACAGCAAAACTGAAAAAGGTCAAATGTCCAGCAATGAGCAAGGCAAATAAAGCTATTCCCCGCAGCATCCTGAGCCAGTTTCAGTTATTTCTTCTCATGCCTGCACCCCTCACACCTGGACATACTTATCCATGCTCACAGAGGCGGGGGAAAGGCCACAGCAGGCACAAGCAATGCGTGTCACTCTACTTCTGTTTCCGTGACCAAAGGCCACACCTGAGGTCTGCAGGACAAGAGCACTTAATCATCTTGTAGAGTGGTGTGGAAAAGCATGAACCACACGACCCAGTGTAGTGCTGGTCAGCACTGCCACCAAATACAAGTATGGGCCTGTGTCAGTGTCTTTGGCAAGATACCTGTCTCTACTGTGGCCGCCCTGACAAGACCACAGACCTGGGCCTTAAACAACAGAGGCTTATTCCTCACAGTCCTGGAGGCTGGAAGACTGAGGTCAAGGTGTGGGCATGGCTGGTTTCTCCAGAGATTTCCTTGGCTTGCAGATAACTGCCATCTTGTCATGTCCTCATATGATCATTCTTCATGTCTGTGTCCTATTCTCTTTTTATAAGGACACTAGTCCTACTGGATTAGGACTTACCCTCATGATCTCACTTAGCCTTAATTGTCTCTTTAAAGACTCATCTCTAGAACCATCTCCAAAGACTCTAGAACCATCCCCTTCTGAATTCCTGGGTGTTAGGACTCCGATATAAGAATATTGTGGGGGCTATGGTTCATCCTGTAACAATGCCCAAGATGGGTTTCAATGTTCATTTTTGCAGTTTTGGTCAGTGCAGTCTGGAGCAGCCTTCCGTGGGTCTCCACGTGCTCATATGCAGAGGCCCCGGGCCACAAGGAGTAGTCAGGCCCAGGTATTCTGCACATGGACCTCTTTGTTCCTTATTTATGAAACCTTTTCCCACCTGGGGGTACAAAGACATGACCATGGATTCCCAAGTTGTAACGTTTTGATTATTCCATTCAACCCGAAGTCTGAAGCCCTTTCAAGTATAACTGTGTGTTATGAGGGGGAGGGGTCTCTGGTCCTGGAGAGCCTGTGATGAACAGAGCCCCTCTGCTAACTGCAATGCATGTGTAATATGAGCAAGAAATAAATGTTTGATGTGTGAAGCCACTGAGTTTGGGGCTTGTGTTTTCCCTAGCATAACCTATTACGTCCTGAACTGCAGGAGATCCCATTTCACCTTTTTCCATGGAGTGCAGACCTGCCCCGGCATCCGCCACAGGACGCCCACTGACTGCAGTGACTCAGGCTGTCCATGTCACGCCTGCCGGCTGTCTGGTCTGGTTTGTCCCCTGCTAGTGATTGTAGTTTTACAGTAAGTCTTGATTATTTGGTTGGTAGAGCACCCCACCTCCATTCAAAACACATATTCTTGACTAGTTGTAAAACACATTGGATCACAAACTTGAAAGCAAAGAGAGTGGGGTAGTGGCCTAGCACGGCCCTTGCCTGACCCCAGCAGTCGTCAGTGCTTGCCTGCACAGGCCCTGAGGGTACCATGTCTCTGGACAGTGGCTGAGTGTGCTCTGTAGGACAGCAGGAACCCTGCACTCTCCCTGTTACGGGGGTGTGGTAGGCTTGTGGGGTCTGACCAGGAAGCACCTTCAGCAGCCTACTTCTGTCCAGGCCTTGGAGGCCCTACAGTGCAGAGCTGGAGCCTGTGGGTTGTGGGTGCTCACACAATTGCCAGATTCTTCTGTCTCCCTGTTGGGGTGCCAGGTGAGCAGAGAGAGACAGCTGACTTCCTCCCTCCCTGCTGTTTTCTCCCTGGGATGCTGGCCTGTGTTTGAGCAGTGCTAGTACCTGGACCTATGAGTGCAGGTGGACAGTGGAAATTCAGGCTGTGGGTGTCTAGGAGCCTGCAGAGGTGGG